CAGATCCGCCAAAGGACGGCAACCACAGCCATGAATAGCGTCGGTTGATGGGCAAGGGCGAGCATCTGCTTGAGAAATAAAGGAAACGTGTGCCGAGGCAAACCCTCCCCCAAATAGTCCAATCCCGAGTAGTCCCAGAGATCCCGCGCAACTGGCAGTAAAGAAACATGTGTTTCATCGTCTCGGGACCATCCCAGCACACCGAACACCGGGGCAACACAGGAACCTTTTTTTCAATGAGAGCCTTGGTGGTCGGCAGTGCGCGATGAAGAATTTGCCAGACAAAGACCTTTAGCTTTGGAGGGATCTTAGCTTCCCACAGCCGGATCCAACTGGGCTTATCCATCCAACTAACCGATGACTGCCACCCACCCCTCCTCTTGTCTAGCTCAACAGCCAAATGATAAGCCAACTTAACCGAGAACACCCCGTCAGCTATGTTATGCCAGATAAGTTTATCATCCACACTTTGCCGCGGAAGTGGGATAGCCTTAATGGCACGACAGGTAGGCGGATCAAACCATTGATTAAGCTTTTCATCATCCCAACGCCCTTCCCCATGACAAATAACCTCCGCCACCAAGGGGTCCCCCCCATATGGCAGGACATGGGGATTATAGAAAGGGGGGTCCAGTTGTAGCCCTGGAATCTAGTTAGAGTGGAGCAGGGAGGCCGATAAGCCATTGCCGATCTAACATCTTAAACCCGCCTCCAATAACTGGCGCCCAAATAGGATACTCTGCCATCCCCATGAAGGACGTGAACGAGCTGTTGCAGCCAGAAAAGTTCCTTGATGAAAATACTTCCCTTTATACACTTGAGCAAGGAGGGAATGAGGTTCATTGAGAATACGCCAGCCAATTTTTGATAAAAGAGCTTGGTTAAAATGTTCAAACCGGCGAAATCCCATCCCCCATCATGCTTACTCCCACACAGATTGTGCCAGGACACCCACCGAACCTTGGGATGACCCTCCTCAGCACCCCACCAGAACCAGGCCACATGTCTATCCAAGAGTCGACACAAAGTGAGGGGCAACCGGAAGCACGACATAACATGCAGGGGTAAGGCCAAAGCTATTGACTTAATTAGGGTCTCCTTTGCCGGCCAGGACAATGTCCTTTGCTTCCACCCCTGCAGTCGCTCCAGTAATTTCTCCTCTAAATATCGGAACGTAGCCATTTTGGAGCTGGCAATCAAAGTGGGTAACCCCAGATACTTGTCATGGATCCCTACTGCACGAACCCCTAGAATCGTGGCCAAGAACTCTTGATCTGCAGGGCCACATTTTTGCTAAAATAGACTGCCGATTTCTCAAGATTAACCCGATGAGCTATACAGTTGTTGTATATATCTTTATCTTTTCTTTCAATGGATTATAAGCCTGGAATTATGTAATAATTTGTCCATCTATGGTTGATGTTGTGGAATGCATTGAGTACCTTTGGTTATTGCTCTATTCCGTGTGTGCCATTGTTTAGCAGGCAACGAGTTTTGAAACCCACGAAGAAGCCTTTCACATCAGCTCTTCGTTACTCCAGTCACAACAGCCTTCCAGTGGCAAAACAACTCGCCGTAATATGCTTCATCCGCAGCAGGAACCATGGATGGATGGATGCAGACCTTTATGATTGTATCTTAATTTTTATTTTGTACAAACCTGTCTCAATTGTTAATTATTCATGATCAAAATGAACATTGTGTTGATTTTATATTTCTTATTTAATTTTGTTAAAAAAATTAATTATCAAGTGCAATTCATATTTTAATTTATGTAATTAAAGAAGCACAATTTCAAGATAATTTCAGATTTTAAACTTCCCTTTACGAAATGAAAAAATGGCTTCACTTAGGTATAAACATAAGCTTTATTTTGAAAGACTATATATTATATAATATATTAATTGTTCAGTTCAATCGAGCGAGTTGTGGATTAGTCGCGTTTGGGTCAATAGAGTTGCGGATTAGTCGGGTTGCGGATCAGTCGGGTCATGAGTCGTACAGGTTGCGGGTCGTTGACTTTTAATCAATTCAGGTCAAATTGAGCGGTTGAATTACTCAGATCGGATTCTGTTTTGCCACCTATACTTCCCCTTAGCTAATACAATCTTTAATTTTTAGGACAATTCTTATTATAAAGGTAAAAGGCAACCAAAAGGCCTCCTGTCAACTAATTTAGACCTTGACTCCTTAAGTTTGGGGACGAATTCCAAAAATACACATGTTTTTAAAAAAAATTCCCAAAATACACACATTATAAAAGATTTTCCCAAAATACACATGTTTGGGAATCACCGCTGTTGTCAACCACAGTGAATGCATTCACCGCGGCAGACCAAAGCGGTGAATGCATCACCGCGGTTGACGGCCGCGGTGAAAGCCCGACTTAACTCTGAAACTTCAAACAAACGTAACTTTGCGCTCGGTTATCAGATTGTCGCGAATTTTTTTTTGATTCCATATAGTTTTTCAAGATCTTTCAATCTGCGATAAGATTTCATCTAAAAAATGTCGTTTGTTACCCCGAACGAGCAGTTTTTCGATTTTGCCAAACATTGGAAGGACATAACTTTTAGCTCCTCAATTCAAAAGTCGTAATGTTTTTTTTATTGCGCATAACTTTTTAAGAACTACAATCGTGACCAGGAAATAATTTTTTTAAAAAGAAGTATTTTTGGGTATACGGGATTTTGGGAATAAATTTGCCTTTACTTTTCACAAATCCACATACTTTCCAAAATTATGGTCATAATCAAAGTTGTAGTACTTCAAAAGTTATGCAAAATCAAAAAAAGTTTCATGACATTCGGATTGTGGAGCACAAAGTTATGATCTTCCAAAGTTTGTCAAAATCGAAAAATTGCTCGTTCGGGGTAGCTAATGATTTTTTTCTGGATGAAGTCTTGTTTCAGATTGAAATATCTTGAAAAGTTATGTGGAATCAAAATTTTTTTTTTGCTACAATCGGATAACCAAGCGCAAAGTTACGTTTGTTTGAAGTTTCAGTGTTGCGTCAGGCATTCACCGTGCCCGTCAACTGCGGTGATGCATTCACCGCTTTGGTCTGCCGCGGTGAATGCATTCACTACGTTGACAACAGTGGTGATGCCCAAACATGTGTATTTTTGGATTTTTTTATAACGTGTGTATTTTGGGAATTTTTTTTTAAAAACATGTGTATTTTGGGATTTTTTCCTAAGTTTGGCCCCCTTCTATCAAATAGTTTGGCTCAATTGCATATTATACATGTGTTTGGCTTCGGTATGTTCGGAACCTTCAACTCAATTGTATATTTATTATTTGTCAAACCTAAATCCGAAAGTTGTAATGTTATAGGGTAAAATATCTCGGGTACCACTTAAGTTTGAGAATTGGGGTACATACCACTTAAGTTTGAATAGGGCGTCGGGTACCATTAAAGTCACCAAAATGTGCATCTGTCTAGTTTTCCATCCAACCCAAAATTTTATTTATTTTTTGGTATCCAAATATTTTAAAAACATCCAAAACTATATTTCAACAAGTTTTTATCTAATTTATAAATTCAAAAACCTTCTAAACATAATAATACTAAAATGACTAATCAAAATTGACAATAAAATAGATAAATTTGTAAAAATAATAAACAAATATCAAGAAGAAGAATAAATATATAGAATATATAATAAATATTTAAAATCAATATTAGAAGATCTATTTAAATCACTAATCCAATTAGATGTACTATTAAAATAGCTAAAATATAACCTAGTCGATCATCAATACATCAAGACCAAAGAAGGATAAATGGAATCGAGTCAGAAAGAATTAAACATTCCAGTAATTGAAGAAAATTTAGAACAAAAAGAGAGCGGAAGTAACCAAGTAATAAATAAATAAAATCTACAACATTCCGTGACAAATATAGAAAAGAATAGGAAGATAATTGTAATTAGTAAATTTAATTAATATTAGAAAATTACAAGGATATTTAACATAGAAAATTATACAACACCAGCATAATGTACGAGAATTAAGTATAACATCCTTAGATTATTTATATTGATATAGAATTCATAGTATACATTTGTTTCAGCAAATTATTCAATTATTATAACATATAATGGTAATTGAAAATACTTATAATGATAATTGATTCTACATTTCCTATTCAAAAATTGGTTTGGTATCAAAGTTTTCAAAAGAGGATTCCAACTAAATAGAATTCATAGGATATATTTGCTTTAGAGAATAATTCAATTATTAGAAAACATAATGATAATTGAAAATACTTATAATGATAGTTGATTCTAAATTTTCTATTCAAAAATTATTTTGGTATCAAGTCTCCAAAAGAGGATACCAACTAAATAATAAAAATTGATGTTTTTAATAAGTCAAAATGATTTTTTACAATAAGAAAAGTAGAAGGACCAATTAAGAAATTTAGAAAACAGTATATTTCAAGAATATTCCGTTAACTTAACGAAATGCATCTAACATAAAACTTAAGTGGTACCGGGTGCACAAATAATAGAGTTTAGTGATACCCGACGTCCGATTCAAACTTAAGTGGTATATCTGCCCAATTCTCAAACTTGATTGATACCCAAGGTATTTTGGGGATTGCTATTCGTCGCCCTAAAAATCCTTATTCGTCGCCCTAATTAAATTAATTTTACTCTAATGCCCTTAATTCATTTATTTGTAGTTAAGCTCAAAACAAATTTATTACCGGAAATAAATTACCCAAAACATTGTCATTGAGCCTCTTTTGCAACTGACTTTGGCTTTAAAAGCTTCTCTTTGCAACTGACTTTGGCTTTGTACCTTTCCTTTCCCTTGGACATTAAACCACGAGTTGCTCACTCTAATGCGAGACCTTGCTTCTTGGCATAGGCATTGTAGAACTTGTAAGCCGAATAAAAAGAATCGAACTCTAGACAAGAACGAATCAATTGCCTTTTGAAACCCATTTCGTGATTCTATACATAGAACACTGCCACTGGTTGCTGATGCACAGACCGATGTGATGTGAAGAATAGGATCAAATGAACTCCGGCAGTAGAAGCAGAGCACCGGAGGAAGTCCGCGGCAGTAGATGCAGTGGCTGCTGCAGCAAAAGGAATGGGGCTAGAAGGGTAAAAGTGTCAATTTGATGCATTTTAGGGCGATAAAATTTGAATTTTAGGGCGACGAATAGCAATTCAGAAATTTTAATGTGGTTTGGTTTTGACCCAACCGACCAAACCCTACTCGAAACGTAGACAGTGGTGTGGAGTCTCTCTCCACTCTGGGAACAGTTGCCAAAGCGAAAGCCAGCGCTCTACAGTCTCTTCACATTCACCGTGCTTTCTCTCTCTCTCTCTCTCTCTCTCTCGGCCCCTCTCTATGGTCTACCTCTACCTCCTTTACCTTTCCCCACAACGTTTCTCTCTCTTTCACCCTCTGCTCCTGCACTAATTGCTGCTCTTTCAATCTTCGATTCGATTTGGTAGATTTCTCGAATCCTCGTTGGTCGGCGTCCTCCTAATCCAGCCTAGAATTTGGCATTCCCTTCCCCAACCAAAGTAATGGACTCTGAACCTTCCAGCGTTGTTGGTAAGTGACCTCGACTTTTCCGGCCTCCCTGGTACCCAATACCCTAGCCTATTCACTCGCTCTTTCCTCATCTTCTTTGCTTCTCCTCCTGCTGTGGTTTCATGGTCTGTGCTTTTGTCCCAATTTCAGTTTAGGGTTGCTTGCTTGTCTAGATGGTTCGTGTCTCACGCTGCTGAAAGTGTATTTTTAGGCGACGAAGGATCGGTTGGTTTGCGGTTGTAAATGGTTGTGATTGGAGACTTGTTGTTCCCCAGCTTTTGGAGGGGATGAATCCTGACTTTTCAGGGGAACGCTTTGTGATGAGCTAGCTAGCTCATCATCCATTCGTTATTAGTTTCTCGTTTGCTTTCTTGAGTTGCAGCAATAGCTTATGTTTCTCATCCTTTTGGCATTTTTTGCTCTGTGGTTCTCATTCAAGCTCATCTAACACCTAATCATGTTTGCATTTAGGTAGTGTCTGTGCCGCAAATTTTTAATGCAAGCTTCTTTGGGAGCCAAGTGTTAACTCTTAACGCTGAACTGGGTGATAGGTTATACTTGTTTTCGGAGTCTGTACTTTTACCTGTCCTCTGGGGTTAATGTCATCTGCAAGTGGCTAAGTCTATTCCTCTAATTGCTCTGATTTCTTCAACTAGATGAAGGTTTTACGAGTAGCTAGCATTCCTGATATGTTAATGTTAGTGAATGGGTCAATCTCTCTTTTCTCCTGTTATGATGATTGATGGCAGCAATTTTACCTTTTTGGGATGATTATGTTGTCATTAGTTCTATTGGATGATGCATAGGACAAAATCATGCTGTGTTACCGACAGAGAGACACGCTTTTCATTAAACTGTAATAATTTGCTGTTTGGCTCTAGTGCCAAGGAATTTCAGACTCCTGGAAGAGCTAGAAAGAGGTGAAAAGGGGATTGGCGATGGTACTGTGAGCTATGGAATGGACGATGCTGATGATATATTGATGCAGTCTTGGACTGGAACCATTATTGGTCCTCCTAATGTATGATGCTTATTTTGTGTAGTAATTGGTAGATGTGTTTCTTTTTTGGGTTTATCTAGCAGTACAACTGGCCTTGCTTTTTTTTTTTTTTGCCTGCTTGGCAGACTATTCATGAAGGACGGATCTACCAGTTGAAGTTGTTTTGTGGCATGGGTTATCCAGATTACCCACCCAGCGTGAAGTTCCAAACCCGGTTAAACATGACTTGTGTCAATCCTGAAACTGGCGTTGTAAGTGATTTTGTGTGATAGTTCTTTGTGTTTGTTGCAGTGGGTTTTAACGTCGTTTCCCCCCATAAACATGCTACTGACTAGCATTGTATCACCAGGTTGAACCAAGGCTTTTCCCGATGCTCGCTAATTGGAACAGAGACTACACAATGGAGGAGATACTGGTGCGGTTGAAGAAAGAAATGATGTCACCACAAAACAGGAAGCTTGCTCAGCCTTCAGAAGGTATGCAACCCTTTCACTCGGACATGGTTTATTGATTTACAATGGTATTGGCAATGTGTTACCGACGTGGTTGATGTGTTAGGCTGTGTAGAATTTGAGAAGCAAGGCAGTAACACTGGGTTGAATGTGGTGGTTGTTACTTTTTTTGCAGGGAATGAGGATGGAAGAGTGGACCATAAAGGGCTGGTATTGAAGTGCTGTATTATGTGACCATGTTTTACTTATGAAAAGGCTGCTCTAAGAATGAATGTACAAGATGTACATATAGAAGATTCAACACAGCCGAAGGATGATTTCCTTTCATCATTTCATCATCATCATCCCTATTAATATAATACATGATATCATGTACACATATATATGTATGTATCTTGTATCAGACAATTGTTCTCTAATTTGAATGGAGCCTAATGCGAGACAATGATCAATAGTGCCCTGGTCATGGAAGTGGAACAGCAAGTCCCGTTCTCATTTCTGTTTGATCTGATATCTGCTACAGTTCTGCACTAGGAAGGTACTTCAGCAGTCGTACTTGTTTCTTGGTACCATCAATAAAGGGCCTATAGTACTATAGCCTTTATCCAAGATTGTCAACTCGGTTTAGCTTGTTGGTCCGGTTGAGGTAGTGAGTCAAGGGTTAATAGGTCGATCGTTTTAACCTAGTTTAGCCGGGATATATGATATTATCACATACATAACAAATTATCACAGTAGGAACAAATTATTCCTAACAATCCAAATAATTACTAGAATCTAAACATCAAACAAATTATCAATACTCAATAGAAAGAAATTATTGATATGATCCTAATTCAAGAATCCACTCGAACTTGGACCAAAACACCAGAGTTGCACACGTCGAACTATCGAGGGGGTTTCTTCTTTCTTGAATAACACGGAAAGTAAAGATACCGCTTGATATGATCCTAATTCACATGTTCATGTGTTAACCCAGCCACGAGTATTATTTGATCAACCAAAAATGCTCACAATTGATCCTTATATCGATAAATTCGACTCTTCATTTTTGGACTACGAGAATTGAATATCGTGCTAGTCAATATCGCATCATTCCCTCTCTCTTGAAGAAGATTCGACCTCGAATCTTCATAGAATCTTGAACTCTGGTCAGCGACACTCTTCTTGGCCTTCGAACTAAATTGTCTTTTGTAGCGATTGTATCATTCCCCCCTTCTTAAGGACAATTCGTCCACGAATTGTAGAAACACCATAACGAGGAAAATTCTCTATGTATCTTAGAACTTCTCGTCAATTTTCCATGTGGGCTTCCTTTTCAGAAATTGATTCGCCAATCACGAAGTCAGTATGATCATATTTTGGAACAATTGATGAATCCTCCAGAATTTTCATGCATTCATCCTCTCCATGAAATTCCGATTCCTCAATAAATTGCTCAACTTCAGGTGCACTCAACACTGACACATCAACAAGAACATCTTCCGTCGCTTCTTCTGCCTCTTCTTCGACTTTCTCTTCTACTTCAAGTTTTGGTTCTTTTTTTAGATGAAATCAAAGCTTGTGAATCCTCTTCACAAGTGAATATAGTAAGTCCATCAACAAGAACCTCTTCTTTCTCGTCATTGACTTCCACTTCTACTACAACTTTCTCACCACGAATCGAGCTTGAAAAATCATAACTTAAATCAAGATCAACGGATCTTGTACTGACAGCCTCTTGCTTTTTCTTATTTTTGTCTTCTTCCATTAGCTCCTTTACTCTAACTAAGATTCCCATTATCTATTCGCAAAGAGATTTCAAATCACTTGAAAGTTTTGAAGTACTCTCTGGAGATATTGTAGGTGTCAGATCTTCCTTCTTATGATAAGCGGTTTGCTCGTTTGACTTGATCTCTGGTGAAGGAAAAGATCTCCTAGAGTAATCTTTAGAAATCTTGAAACTTTGGTAGAGGCTTTGGAGAGTAGCTTGAGGATATCTATCATCGAGTAAAAATATCTTTCTCATGACCCGCTTCATCACTACCTAAGACTCTATTTCCATATTGCTATCTCGTTTCCATGATGCACAAAGTTGATCCCACCATACACTAGTATAATTAGTGAATGTCATAGAAGCGATTTACACCTTTTTCCAATCCGAATAATAATAATCTTCAAAGAAGTTTTCCATCCCCTCCTCCCAATCAAGAAAAGCTTCATGATTTCTTTCCCCCATAAAACAATAGAATGTAGAGCTTCACATATTTTCTATTGTTCTCCATCATAGCTTTATGTATGCTGAATTTCTTATTTGTAGAGAGAGTTTAGTGAGTGAAGCTGAAGGAAGGAGAGAACAAAATAAGAAAGAATGAGCTAAGAAGGAAGGGATTCTCCCAAAGAAGTCCTCCATCTCCATTCTTCCATGTCTTTTCTTCCCCCATTTATGGGCTAGTCACTCAAGGTACTAGGGGCATTGTCCCCCAAATCCTAGTTTAAGGATTTGTTATGTAAGAGGAATTTTGCTTAAGTTTATGAATGGAATGTGTTTGCCTAGGAGCACTTCTACTATGCTATATAGTATTGGTGCTTTAATGTACAAATTAAAGTTGTACCATAACATTAAATGTATAAGTTTAGGTTGTACCATAAAGCAATTTGTACCATTATGTTATGGTACAACTTTACAACTTGAAGTTGTACCATCACATAAAGATACAAGTTCAAGTTGTACCATAAAAGAATTTGTACAAAAAGTATAGGTACAATCTAAAGTTGTACCATAACGTAAATGTACAATTTTAAGTTGTACCATAAAGGCAAAATCCTATAGCACCAATACTATATAGCATTGTAAAATTTCTCGTTTGCCTAGTGTTTTTATGCATCTATCTATGATTATTGAGCTTTGGATGTGTCTCTCCATGTGCTATCTTTGATTGCCTTGTTAGGGTTTGACTCAAGGTGTTGTGGATTGAGCTGTCCTGGCATGGTTTGCGTAAATGATTGATGTAAAGACCTATTTGGTGGATGAGGTGACCATCCCCTACCAACTATGATGCCCACCTAGGTGATGATAGAGCGTTATGTGTGTGACCATCGAAATGTTGATATAGAAAATGGGTGAAACCCCTTGAAAGGGAATAGAATGTATCCCTAATTTGTAAATCTGATTGACGTGAGATTGGGTTAGTGGATCGGATTAGGAGGGGGTTAGTTGCATGACCATTGAGCTAGCTCCCATATTAGTGATTCATGGACTTCATTCCCCATAAATGGGCAATTCTATCCTTTTGTATGACATGCCTAGTAACTAGGGCTAGGGTGGTGCCTCGAGTACTTGCTATCTCATTTATGCTTTTGTTGTCAATTATTACCAATTGTTCTCCAAACAACGCAAAACCTGATTGGCTAGATAACAACCGAGTGAGAAGTAGCCTACGATATCGAGGCCCCTTGGAATACGATCTTGGTCAACCACTGTACTAGCAATGCCATCTTGAGTTATTCTTGGCTCAAGATGGGGTAGTTAGTTTACGCATCATGCATCCAAATTATGATCTGCACAGAACGGACCAAGAATTTGGGACCGTTGCCGGGGAACTTCGGTAACTAGCTGAAAATCATAGAGTTGTTAGTTTAGTTTTAGTTTTCTGCTTATTTATACCTAGTAGTTTTATCTTTTTGTTTTATTTTATCACACTTTGTGCATCATAGTTGTTGAGTTTGAGTTTTGAAGCTTTTGTGTATGAGAATAATAGATTCTCTTGAACTGGTACCACTTGATACTAAGATTGAAAGAACACTTCGAGGACTTAGAAGAACCGCAAGGTTAAAAGCTCAACCAATGGCGTGCAAGAGAAACTATAACCGAGATGGAGGACAATGGGTCCTACTCATGTCCAGGAGCAAAAGATATGCAGTTACACATATGGTATCCCAACATGAATGGGCAAGGTTAAAACATTAATCCCGACATGATTTCTATGATCAAGACCGATTTTCAATTTATTAGGGCCAAAGATGAGATACCCCATCGCCACCTAAAGGATTTTCTTACCCTCATTGATGGGATCAATGCAAATGAGACGCTTAGAGAGGCGATTCGTCTCGACTCTTCCCTTTTTCAATTGGTGGAGAGGCTAGAAAATGGCTCATTAGTCAACCTCATCACTCCATAGCCACATGGGATGAACTTTGTAACAAGTTTCTGAATATGTACTATACTCCTTCCCAAATTTCCAAGATTTGGGCAATTCTAGGCTCATTTTGTCAAGGGAAGCAAGAGTCTTTTCAGGATTCTTAGGAACGATTCAACTCTCTGTTTTCTGAATGCCCTCACCACGGGATTGAAGACAAGAGAAAATTGGAAATTTTCTTTAAGGGCATCAATAATGATCAAAAATTGAGAATCCTCATGACTGGGGGAGGCAACTTAAGAGAAAAAGAACCAAGAGATATCCTAAAACTGCTGCAAAACATTGCTGACAACGATTGTGATTGGAGAAGGGAGCAAGAAGAGGAGGAAGTTGAAGCATCCAAGGAAACTCCACATGTGATCGTTCCCTTTCTAGGAGATAGGATTGACAAAACAATCAAATTGGTGGTGGTCAAACAAACACCAACAACGTCAGAACAAGTGCATGGGAGTGTTTCCCCCTCATCTATGGGATGGAATGTTATGAGGAGAGTGCCATCAAAAGAAGAAAGGAATCCATGAAACCTACATATCTCCGTTGATCCATCCTCTAGAGTGAATCTCTCTTGGTCATCACCAGAACCGCTTTTCCATGAATAACCTGGCCTAGATGAGGAAGTCTTTACCCTTAATTTAGGTCATGAAGACAAGCAAGTAGAATGCACTAAAAAATTCCAATATTTCATGGATCAAAGTTAACTTAAGAAGGATGTAATTGAGGTTTCATCGAAACAACCATGGATAAATTTCGGATTCTAGATGAGGGTCATCATTGTAACGAGATGGATTTGCATAAATTGGAAAAATGGTTAGTCGCTTTAACTGGTTTTATAGTCATCAAGAATGTTGAAGAAGAAAGTAAGGTAGTCACTCTGCAAAGTGGAAAGAAGACTCTAGAACCACCTTTTGCGAGGTAAATAGTTACAACTCCAACTTATGTAGACCTAGAAGAAGAGGAAAAGGAGACCTCACCGGATCCGGAAATCCCCGAAGTTGTGAAAAAACCCCAACAGGAAGTGGAAACACCCTTAGCACCCTACCCTTCAAGACGTAAGGGGGATCAACTTGATGAGGAATTCGAAAAATTCATGGATATTCATAAGGAAATTCAAATCGATGTCCCTTGTGTAGAAACCATGACCCAAATGCTAAAATACACCAAGTTCTTGAAGGAGATAGTGACACGGAGGGAGAAGTTAGGAGCAATTTCTACCATCAAACTCAACGAGGAATGTTCGACTAGTTTTCAAAATAAGCTGCCCGAAAAGAAGAAGACCCAGGTAGTTTCACTATACCTTGCATGATTGGCGATTTACATTTTAAGGAACATTTGGCAGATTTAGGTGGCTAGCTTTAATGTTATGCCATATCAAGTGTTTAAGAAGTTAGGTGTCAGTGAACTATCTCTAAGAAAAATGAACATATACGTGGCTGGTAGGTGTATTGTGTTTCCTAAGGGTATGGTACAAGACTTATTAGTTAAAGTTGATAGATTTGTTTACCCTGTGGTTTTTTTTTTGTGTTGGATATTCCAGGAGACGTTGATGCTCCGCTTATCTTAGGAAGGCCTTTCCTAGAAACTGCTAAATCTTTTATAGATGTTCAAAACAAAAAATTAACTTTAGATGTGGGAGATGGGGATGCCACATTTTCAATCAGGGATAGCATGAAGTGCCCTAAATTTTATGATGATTTAGACTACTAAGAATCCATGAATGAATTTCATGATGTTTACACTTTCACTTGTCAAAATTTTGATGCTGCTATTGAGCAGTGTCTTGTGACAGGTAATGAAGCAGCACTTGGATTGAATGTGGACGCGCATCTTAATTTTTTGGATGAGGGACATCATGGAGGGAACTGAACAGCTAGAAAGGTACTTCAATCTGATTTCTTCTGGCCTACTCTTTTTAAGGATGCTCATGATTTTGCAAGAAGATGTGATTGAGTAATGAAGCTAGATTTTGTTTACCTAAATCGGTGCTATTTACCCTTCATATTTAAGTTAGTTTCGTGCTAATTCGTGTGCATAATCGGAAGAATATCATCGATTGCATCCCTATTTCGTTCCTATTTGATTATGTCGTTATTTTAGGGTGCTTTAAACGATACATGTGAATTAGGTACGAAAAAGGTGCACAAGTGTAGAAAAAGGGGCAAAAACGAAGATCATGGCCAAGGAGCCAAGATCCCAGCCATGAAGAGAGGCATGAGCCAGAGCACAAGATTGCAGCCTGCAATGCGAAGATCCCGGCCGCAACCTTCTGCCTCTCGCTCGTGATCTTGACCTGAAGATCGCAGCCTCAAGTTCACGGCCACGAACTTTGGAGCCAAGGGTGTTAACTTCAGAAGAGGCTAGCTCGGGCGAAGTAGAAAGTTTCAGCCATCGTTTTACGGTCCGCGAATTTTGTGCCCGCGATAAGGATCGCGACCAGGATGTTAGGCCGCGAACTCCACATTTAGCAAGGCGAAAATGATGATCCTCAAAGATCGCAACCTCTACCCCAAAGCTCCCGGCAGCGATCTTCTGCACCGTGCCTGCGAATTTGCCGTTAAGATTGCAACCTCTAGATCATGGGCGCGATCTTCAGCCCCTTGCCTGTGAACTTTCCCGTGTCTGTAGAATTCTATAAATAGAGGACTCCTCCCCCTTAAGAAGATGACTTTTGGTAGATTTATGATTCTAGAGAGAGATTAGAGAGAGAAGTTGAATGAAGGAGAAGAAGAGGAAGAGAAGAAGTGGAGGAGAGCTTTGGAGGAGGACTTCCATCAATTGAAGACCCCTTTGTTCATGATTTCTTCCAGGGACGGAGCCAGGCCATTGGCGGGGGAGCCAGGCCATTGTAAGGTGCACGTTGACAAAGTCTTGGTTATAGTCTAAGTGGTAGTTATGCTATCTTGGGTTCGTTTGAGAATAAGGATGGGAACGGGTACCATCAAACCCGTGCCCTGCTCTGCTTCGTGCTCCGGGACGGGTCAAAATTTTTTGCCCCATACAAAATTCGTACAGATCGGGTAAAATCCGTC